TTTTTTTTTTTTTGGCTGCCCCGCGTTTCTCCACAGGGGCAGCACAAGCGCTATGGCTGTTTGTAATCCAGCATGGAGACACTGCTGCTCCAGCCTTCTCCTCCTCCTCCTCCTCCTCCTCTCCCAAACAAAACAGCCCAAAAAGTGAACTCGCCGCGCCGCCCGAGCCCTCCTCTTCCCCCCTTCCGCTCCGCGCTCCGCTCTAGGACATCCACCAAAAAAAAATTAAAAATGCAGAAGGGGGGGAGGCAAAAAAAAACCGAAAACCCCACAGATCCACACACACACACACAGAGACACACACACCAACCCAAAAAACTCCACACACACGCGCGCGCGCGCTAAAAATTTTTTTTTTTAAGCTAAATTTCCGCGATTGCCGCTTTAATCTCTTCCCCCTTCGCTCCCCATCTGCCTTCCCTCGGTTTTTAATTGTTTTTTTTTCCCCCGTACTTACCTTTCTTTTGGGCATAGTTGCACCTTAATAGTTGATTGCAAAACCTAATAGAGATAAGATATCGAAAATAAATGGAAGCGGCGAAAAAAAAAAAAAAAAAAAAAAAAAAAAAAAAAAAAAAAAAAAAAAAAAAAAAAAAAAAAAAAAAAAAAAAAAAAAAAAAAAAAAAAAAAAAAAAGAAAAACGAAAAAGCACGGAACCCCCCCTCAAAAAATTAAAAAAGGAAGATGTTTAAGGGACCAAGAGTTAATTGCGGCAGAAACTGAACAAAAAAAAAAAAATCCCCCCCTCTTTATTGCAAACAGTAAAATACACCAACACGCAACCAAACTGCATGAATGGGGAGCGCGAGATGGGCCCGGCCGCTGACTGACGGCCGCGCGGGCCAATGGGCGCGCGGGGAGCGGCGCGGGGGCGGCGCGGGGGGCGGCGCCGCCGGAGCGCGAGCGCCGCGCGCTTTCCGCGTGTGCGCGGCCCGGAGCGCGGCCCCGCCGACCCCCCCTAAGCCCCCCCCCGCGCCGCCCGCCCCGGCCCCCGCCCGCCGCCCCGCAAACTTCCCCCGAAAGTTCCCGCAGCCCGCGGGGACACAAACATGGCCGCCCCCGGGACCCGCGGCCTGCGGGAGCGCGGCCGCCCGGCCCGCCCGTACCTGCCGGGAAGGGCCGTTGCGCGGTCGCGGAGCGCGGGGGCTGCGGCCTTTGTGCGGCCCGGCCCCGCGCGGGGAGCGGCGGTGCAACCGCCCCCGCGGCTGTTGGAGCAGCCCGGGCTCCCGCCGGCCGCGGGGGCTGGGGCAGGGCTGGAGCCTGGGAGGGTGTCCCTGGAGCGGGGCCTGCGAGCCTGAGGTGGTTCAGAAGGTGAAGGCTCGGAGTTGGGCACGGATTAAGGGAGATGAGCTTTGTCTCCATCATAACGGCAATGTCTGACAGCGTTCCCACCACGTATCTTGTGTATTTCCACAGGGAAAGCACAAGGTGTGTTAATCCCACCTTCAGGGCCAAAGCACTTTGACACTGAGAGGTGAAACGGGAGGTGCGACTATTCCTGCCCAAAGCCAGTCCAACCCTTTCTAAAACCTGCAATAAAGTGGATTCTGCAATCTTCCTAGGCAGCCTATTCCAGCACCCAACTGCCATTAAACCCATAAGTTTTCCCCAGCATCTAAACTGTACTTAGGCTATGAATTTCCATTTCTTTTGTGGTCCCCAGCAGATACAAAGAACGATTAATAAGCATCAAATTCCACTAACATTTCAGATACTGTGGCATTTCACATAATATTATAATTTTCTCCCTAAAACTTAGTTTTTCTAGACTAAACAAATTCTCAGAGGCCTCATGACCTCATAGGCCATATTTTGTAAACCTTTTACCATTGCTGGGCTGCTCCAGACTCCTTTCAACTTCGCATTCTTGCTCAGGTCAGTGTCCAATAATCAGGTTAATTAGGTAACGGCTCTCAGCGTGGTATTTGCAGACTCAGCAGCAGCATCACTACGTTGGTTCAGACTCTTCCTGATCCCCTGTAATCCCTGGATCTCTTTCAGTGCTGCTCCCTGAACAGCTGTTCCCCTGTTCTTGACAAATTCATGGTGACTTTTTGATTTGTCACTCCTTACGTCACCCCCCTCTCCAAGGGCCGGGATGTCAATACTTTATTATCTTCCTGCACTTTGCAGTTAAGCTCAGCAATTTTCCATCCATGAATCCACCTTTCTCCCCCTTCCTCCAGTCAATGTTGATCCATCAAATGCCATGATTATTTTGTTAAAACACACCAGTTATTTAAGGATGTCCCTGACTGGCCTCCTGCATCCTGGGGAGTGTGTTTTCCAGGCACTGCTGGCCCCAGTGTAGCCACATAACCAAACACAGTCGCTCCCCCTTCAAGATCTCCTGGGGTAATCAGGATTTTAAATAGTCTTTCCAATAGTTTTCTCCATCTTCTGAACTATGAATGGCCTAAAGCACATTTCAAGAGCGCTTGGTCTCCAAGTTCTCCATCACCAGAAGTTTTGTGCTCCAGTTGCCTCGAGAGGTTTCTCCTCTCTGCCCACTGTTATTGTTTTATCCTTTCCATGTTCTGTGAGAAGTCTGAGGAAGAGAAACAGTAATTTGTTGGAGGGTCTGTCAACATCTTCTCCTGAATAACTTGCACAACCAACATTTTGGATCAAAATGTGCAAGTGAAGCACAGATTTGAAAATTCACAACTAATTTTTGGTTGTATTTGCTTTGCCTTCTCTTTCATCTTTACATTTTCTCAAACACTTCGACTTTTTCTTAAAATGTCACCATTAAACCACAAACTGGCTTAAATAAC